TTTATATTCGTATCGATGTCGTATTCATATGATATTTTATGAATCTGACCTACTTTTACGTCCTGTTGAATTTCTGATATATTTAACACGCTCACGATAATCTTTCCATCTTTTACCGTGTTATATATATTTGCGCAATAAACGTCCTCGGATAATTGTTGTTTTTTTATTAAAATATTTTTATTTTCCATATCTGGATCTGCTATCGGAATACTGACTATTGTTTCCGTTCGCGGTTTTAATGTGAAACATATTTGATTGTTGCTTAATTCATTTTTATCTTTTATTATTAATATATTATTTGCGATATCTATTACAGCGTTATTTTCTACTAAAAACTTATGCCCGAGAATCCCGTCCTTGTCGACCGGAAATTGTTTATCTACTACGAAGAAATCGGTTTTGAATTCATTTTTGTCTATTATTAATGTGATTATTACTTTGTCTATCGTTGGTACTATTTTTTCATTTATTCCTTGCAGATAAATTTTATCATTTTCGTTTATTTCTACATTTCCTTTTAATTTATTAATTTTGATTAAATTTAAATCGCTACCCGTGTCTAGTAATAATTGTGTATTTTCTGTATTAAAGCTAGGTGATTTCAATGTTACGTGATTTTGATTTATATCTGCTGTGACATGGAAACATTGTCTTGTGTGGATTCTGAATCGATTATTTGGTGTACCAATCTTACCCTACTCAAGTTTGGCACTCTTTGGTTTCCCGACAAATTTGAGCTAGTTCTTTCATTACGTTCCTTGGTATAACAACTGTGAATCTCATGACCCCTCTTATTACAATAGGTGCAGTGCAATACACGTTCCCCGTTATTTGCGTTATTATTATTTCTACGTACGTTATTATTCGTATTTTGTTGTCGATTCATATTAAAATTTTGTCCTTGGTTCTGGTTTGCTTGCCTACACTCTTGCGCTAAATGATTTGTTCTACCGCTGATATAGCAACCCGTATTATTCGGTGCTATCCTATTCTGATTATTATTACGTTGATTAAAATTGTTATAATTCTGCCTTCCGTTAGAATTATAGCCGTTTCGATTAAAATTTCTATCGTATGTATTTTGACCGTTATTATTATTACGTCTATTAGAATTTATTCCGCCGTTGTGGTTATTATTTCTATTGTTACCCCGATTGGATTCTGACCTGTGGTTATTATTTTGATTCCCGTTAGAACCTTGGCTAGTCATTTCTTTTTCTAATACATTTCCTCCGTTTACTTCTTGTTTTTCTAATTCTTTCCTCAATCGCTCTACGTCGAAATTCGCGTTATGCTCAGTTTCTTCGTCTTTTGCGATTTGCATAGCTTCCTCCAGTGTTTTCGGGTCCCTAGCTTTTAGTGCGTGGTTTAAATGTTTTGGTAATCCGTTAACAAAAATAATTAGTGCTTGGTTTTTTATTTGTCCTTTATAAACTTTAGCCTCAACGTCGTTCATTTTTTCTGAACCTACCGTACATAATTTATAATATATTTCCTCTATTCGACTTGCGTAATCCGCGACACATTCGTTATCCTTCATACGTGAAAAATGTAGTCCTAATGTCAATGTTCGCTCTGACGCTTTATATTCGAACTCTTCCTTTAGAATTGATTTTATATTTTCCCATGTATTTGTTTCGCGAAATTTACAAGCTTGGAGTGCATTTCCAGCTAATTTAGAATTTATTATTTTTATTAATAACTCTAGTTTATCTTTTTCTACCGATTTAACAGCGATATCACATGTGTTTATAAATTCTGCTACATTGTTTGCTCCCGTGCAAATCGGAATCATTGCCGTATATTTATCGAAATCCATTTTTGATTCGGTTTTATTATTTGGCAATTTATTTATTAATTTATTTGTTTTCCTTTGCGTTACACCTAACTCTACGTGTACTACGTCCGAATCGGATCGCGTTCCTCCTCTTCCTGACCTAGTAGTTACGGGTGATACAATTAGTTCTGTACAGGGTCTTCCTCCTATTTTTTGTAAAAATCTATCTTTGTTAAAATCTTTTGCCCCTGGATAACACCCAGTTAAACTAAATCGATTAATTGTTCAGTTTTAACGGTACAGTTTGTATCGGCAACAACTGCAACAACATCGTCGGTTTGTTCTACTTGCATGCCTACTTCCCTCGTCAATTTTAGGTTATTAAGAACATAGACTTTATTTTAACATGTAGAACTGATAGAATATTTTTGGTACACTGAAATTTGTCAGAGAGTCGACTGGCGTGAAGGTGCTCGTACTGGCTCTGGTAAATCACGTCTGAATATCGGGTGGATTTGTCTCTGTTTTATAGGCCTACTCTCCACTCTTCTCCTAGCGATGAGATAGCGCTGACCCCGTTTACAATTGCACGTGTGCGTGGTCGTGGGTTTCCAGGAAACGGTCGCCCGGTCGTGTCGGTCGAGAGATTAGAGTAAAGATATTGTAATATTATATTTTAACATTTTTATAGATGTTTCACGTTTTAACTCTTTTTATTTATATTTTCGCAACGCACTTTCGGTAGTTGGATTCTCAGAACTACGCACTCGATTTCTTATTGCGTCGTTGTTCTTAAATCCCCGAGGTCGACAACTTCCCAATGTGAATAATTCTCATATTATGTCCCCCTCGCTATCTAGCCTTTAATTATATGCGTATATGGCGGGACGTCAGTACATAGCAACAGTAACCTAGGGGTAAATACCTGACAGAAGTTTTGTACACCAGGTTACTGATTTCAATGATTATTCATATGATTACCCATGATTTACTACAATGATTACCTATGATTACCCATAATTACCATCACATTGTACACTGATTAACCCCAAGGTGATTACCCTTCGACAGTAACATAATATCATTATAGGTTTATTAACTTTTATAACAAAAACAAAAAATATCCTTAGATCAAATAGCTAATACTTAATAGCTAAATAAAATAAATAAATACTTAATAGCTACTTTAAATATTCTTACCGCAGTTCGATATCCACTGTCTTGATGTATTTACATCTTTGGGGAAACGAAAGAGTTTTAGACCTAACTCAGACAGCGCAACCTGTTGGCATGGCTCCCACACTACTAGATTTCTGGCTCCCATTTCACTTTATCAAGCGTTAACGAATTTTACTGTTACCTGGGCTATCTATGTATATTTAATCAATGATATAACCACTAGACATGTAATAGTCCCAATGTCTCATACGTCGTTATAAGTTTTTAAAATTTTTTTTTTTGTTAAGATTTCAAAAAATAACTATTAAATTCAACACATTTTACAGGTACATATTATATTTATTGTTTATTATAAAGAAACTAATTTTGACAGTTTTTTTTTAAATTGTATTTTGTTTTTTCATATCGTGATTTTTGGCTTATACGTATTGCCTCATACGCATTGTTATATAATGTACATAAATATCAGTCATAGCTTGAGTCTTGTGCTCTGAACATCCCCATTGTAATTTAAAATTAAGATTTTGTAGAAATTCATCAATTGTATCCAGTGATCGACTTGGGCGGTAACGCATAGGAACTCAGCTCCTATACTAGCTTTTGATTTTAATTAGCGTTCCCATACTACATTTTCCTAAAATAACGCACGGGTACGCAATATAAAATATAAATGACAACAAACATTCTTACGGCTTAATACGAACATTTTTATCTAATTTAAATTTGAATATGTAAATTCAATTTTTACCACAAATTAAGATACACGGAAGGTATATAAGATATATATTTTTTTCGATTAATAAGTACACAAGCTGTAAAATTAGTTTTACCACAAGAATAATATTATTATGGGCTATAGAATAAAATATATATGACATGAAAACACTGTCTAATTATCCTATTTTTAGAACGTCAACAATTTCCTATTTATTAAAAATATTTATATTGATTATTATCTAATCTGATAAATTCATAGAATTCATATCAGAGTCGTTAACAGCTTTTAGCTACTTTGATATTATGAATACGAGACACGAGTTATTACTATGATTGTTGATCACTGTCCACTGACGAGCACGAGATTACTAAAATTTAAGACCGCTTCTAATATTTAATTTATAGTGATAAATAATTAATATTCTTATATATTGGTGTTAAATATTAATTCTATTATAATAATGGATAAATTTTTTATAAAAAAAAAAAGCAAAACCATCAAAAAAGATTGACCAAGAAGTAAGTAATTTATTATTTGCATTTATTTTTCTAGTTGTAACAGTTTCAATAATCATATTTGGTCAGCTAAATGCTTAATATTTACATTAGTATAGTATATAGTACCTACCTATACAATACTTACATATATAACTTACTTATATGTAAGTATTAGGTATATAGGTAGGTACTATATACTATACTAGAATACAGTTGTAAATAACTTGAAAAGTATGGTACCTAATTACCTACTTAGTTGAATAGATCTTATAAAATAACTTGAAGTTAAATAAAAAATAACTAATAGGGTTGCAAAGTTAAAAAAAATTAGCTTAATAACTTGGTTTTAAATTTCTTGTAATAGATAAATGCTAAAAATTTAAAAATATTTTAGGTATTACCTAGCACATCACATTTTGTAGAAGAAGTTGGGCTCAATTTTCAAATAGAACATAATGTAAGTACCTATTGTGTTGATACCTATTACTTTAGTGGCTACACTTTATTTTCCTTCATTAAAGAAACATAATATTTTATTTTTCCTAACAAATAACAATTTTAATTTTATTTCTTTTGTATATAAATTGCATCTTTTTATTTTGAATACTTACTGAAAAATAAAAATTGATAGTAGTTTATAGTAGTATTATATTTGACTTTCTATTTACTTTTTTAATTTATATTACTTAAAATTATTTAAAATTTTATTATTATAGGATGCTGAAATATACAATAAAATCTTAAAAAATAAAAGTATAGAAAATACTGGACCACAATGCTGGGATGAAAAACAGGTAAAATATTTTACTGATGAATATCCTTGGATTTTTTTTAATGAAAATAATCTTGGCTGTGAAGTTTGTAAAAAAGGCAACTTAAATTTAAGCAAAACAAAAGGAACTCATTTTGCTAAAGAGTGGATTAAAGGAGAAATTTGTGCTGTTGGACCAAATATTAAAAAACAGCAAGCAAATCTAAGGAAGAAAATTTTATTGCATAAAACTTCAAATGCTCATTTATATATGGAAAGAATTATTCATAAAAGCAAATTTGATGATATCCCAGAGCATATTAAAAAATTATCTAAAACTGAAATAAAAACTACAGAAAAAGTGTTTAGAACTGCATATTGTATTGATAAAAATCAACGCCCTTTTTCTGATCATCCAAAACTCATTGATCTCCAAATCTATAATGGCCTTAATATGGGACGAATCTTACAAAGTGATAAGTCATATTCTAATATAGTTGATCATATTGCTATTGAAATGAGAAAAAAAGTTTGTAGTGAGATTATTCACTAACAAATAAAGCTATGTGTTATAGTAGACTAAACCACCACATTGAGTTAAAAAACTATGCTACTAATATGTTTAAAAACTGCTATTGGTGAGGAATTAATAACTTTTTTTTTAGACATGATAGAATTAAGTGCAACATCTGCTGAAGCAATAAAAAATGCAATTATTACAAACTTATTTTATTATGGAATGACTGATGATTTTCTCAAAAAGAATTTGATTGCATTTGTCAGTGATGGTGCATCAACTATGCTAGGAAGAAAAGCTGGTGTAAGTACAAAGTTGCAGAGTATGTATCCAAATTTGATTGTATGGCATTGTTTAAATCACCGTCTTGAATTGGCAATTTACGACACATTGAAAGAAATTAATGGGACTAATAATTTTCAATCATTTATTGAAAATTTGTATACTTTGTATCATAACTCACCAAAGAATATGACCGAACTTAAGGAATGTGCTTCATCATTAGAACAACAACTGCTACACATTGGAAAAATTTTTACCATTAGGTGGGTGGCATCAAGTGAAAAAACAATTAAAGCGGTATGGAACAATTATACTGCATTAAATGCACATTTTTCTAAGTCATCTGTTGATAGTTCAAAAAATTCAAAAGATAGATCTAAGTACTCGGGACTTCAAAAAACATTAGCATCAAAGGAATTTGCAACTAATTTGGGTAATTAAATTGATTTTTTTACTTTTTTTATATTTTTTTATCATGTTTTTTTACTATAAATATTTTTAAAATAATTTTAAATTGATTGTTTGTAACATATGTCATCTCTTATTACTAGAATAATTATTAACAGCACTACAAATATTTATGTTTTAGGTATTATACATGATGCTATTAGTGAGCTAGCTAATTTATCATTGATACTACAAAATAGATGTTTGAGTATAGCTGAGGCAAAAAAATGTATTCTTCGTACTATTAGAATTTTTGAATCTATGATAGATCATCATGGTCCAAAAACTGAAGAAGCTTTAAATGCATGTGGAAATGAACGATTGATGTTTAAAAATGTTAAATTATCCAATAATAAGGTAATACCAAAAATTATGCCATCCCAATTTTTCTGAAGTCTTGCTAATAATTTACAAAGTAGACTCTTCACCATGCAAGCATCACATGTAGGTACATGTGACAATAATTTATTCAAGGATCAGTACAATATTCTACTTGCTGACTTAGACATGTTAGATCCTAAGACATGGCCTGATCAATTTGATTTTCAACATGATGATGTCAGTATACGACGTTTAGCTAGACAATTTCAAGTTGACGAAATATCATCAGTACGAGGTTTTCGCGAGTTCAAAGAAATTAAAGACCATTCTTATATTTTAGATCTAAAACCTCTATTAACTGTAGTTAATACAGTAGCAATTTCTTCATGTGAATGTGAACGTACGTTTAGTGCAATGAACAACATTCTTACATCTAAAAGAAATGCGTTGTCTACAAAGCATTTATCCTCATTTTTTATTTATTATCTGCGTTGGACCTCCTGTAAAGTTATTTATACCAAGTCTATATGTGCATGCTTGGATAAGTAATGGACAAAGAATTGCTGATGAAGTGTGTTGCCCAAAAAGAATAAACAAAGATGTTGATGCTTCTTACATGCCTTTATGGACTTTATTTGGGTCTTGAGTTTTACACATTAAATTTTGTAATAAATAATGGTAGCAATTAAGGGGGTATGGGGGGGCAAAGGTTAGGGCCAAGGTTTGTGTTGAATAAATGTTCAGTTGGAACGCTGTTTTTTTAATTTATATTTGAGTTCCCATTCTTTCAATTTACCAATTCGAGCACTGATTGTATCATCAAATACATTGATGGAATCTGCATTTGCCTTAAAACAAGATTCTAACTCTTTAATATATAAAAATATTGGACGACTCGGGTGTGATAAAAATCCTCTAGTTTTCATATTTACTAACTCTGCCTTTAGGTCTGATAATATTCCATATTTTGCTTCTAAACATTTCAAACATAAGTCGCACTTAAAACTGTTTTTCAAACGTTTTACAATGTAACTGTGAACAACGAAAGCATATATATTATAATAAACTTAGTAAGATAAAAATTCAAGATAATATAGAACCTAGATATTTACCCAGTCAGAAAGTACACAATACATTTAAAAAATGTTGATTCAGGTATATTACAAAAATTATGTTCCTGAAAAGTATCATCGAAGTCCCAATTACCTTCCTCTACCAAATTGTCCATTTTTGACTTCAGTTTTTTTATTTTTTCAGTTCTTTCTAATGAGTTATTTTGTTCATTAATAATTTCCTTTAAATCAGCTATATTAATAGTTGGTATATTCTCTAAATAAAATATTATGTTTTTAATTAATTGATAAAAATTTGTAGGATTTAGTTCATATAGAAACATCCACAATGCTGAGTGGATTGTGGATACCTTCAAGAATAGTACAATTCCCGGTTTTGGGGGGTTTTACTAAACTGTAAACTGATAGCAATCTATACAATTGCATAAATAATGTTGACGATGGATGATCGTTAGGTCCATTGACTTGGCGAATTAACCCGAAATTTTAATAAAATATGTTTCAATGTTCATATTATTGTAATAAAACAATTGAACAAACAAATAATAAACAACTATAAATAATACAAACTTCTAGACAATCCTGGTTCATTTTTGCTGTCAACACATATGCAAATCCACACTGATTGAGTAAATAGTGTGACAAATCTATTGTAGAACTAATAGTCATTCTCAATCCTTCAGATGTTTGTCTTGTGAGAAATTCTTCTTTGTTAATTAGGTTCCGATTTAAATTTAAACAGTCATTTAACCAATTTAATGCATACTTAAGTACCTAGAAATCAAATATTTGTTATAGTCATAAAGGTTACATCAAAATCCATAGCTACTCAAATAATAAATTGTGCTACATGTATAGGTATAAAAACACAGATACTAATACTGTGATACTTTCTTGATATTAATTTTTTTTTTTTTTTTATTAAATAAAACAAAAAAAACATTGTTATATCTACTACCTTTAAGCAGAGCTTGAGTTGGTAGTAGAGAGTTACATGTTACAACTTAGATTAGATACATATATTAATTACTAATTACAGCAGCAAATTGATTAAATCGACATTCGACATTTAATTAAACATAATAGAGGAAGTTCAAAAAGAATGAAATTAATAACATACTCTATACATACATAATATTTAGACATTCCTTAAAATCTAGGTATTATATTTCTTGTAGAAGCCAATTGTAGATTATTATTTTATGATTAGATTTGGGATTTGATCTTATAGTTTTCTTGATAGCGAAAGGCATTGCATTGAAGAAAGTTGGTCCTAAATAGTCAACGAATTTTTGTCCAATAGTCTTTTTAGTGTAATTATTTGAGATGTCATATGTTCTATTACGTTTTGAATATACAATATCATTTATAGGAGTATTTTTAATAAGAAACATGATCGCGAATTTTTTGTAAAGTAAATTAATAGGTAGAACGCCCAAGCATTTATAATTTAATTTAGTTGATCCTTCTAACGTGTTTTTGTCAAGGCATTTACGAACTATTTTGTTTTGCTGTATAGTTAAAGGCTTAATAGCATTTTCATATGTACCACCCTAGGCAATTATACCATATTGAAAAATAGCTTGGTAGAGAGAAAGGTATACTATACGCATAGTATCTGATGAGATTATTTTCCTCAAACAATATATTTTGTACATAATTGTCCTTAGGCGCATAGTCATACTGTTTATGTGGAGTTGCCATTTCATATTTTGGTCGAAGATTAGGCCTAGGTATCTTACCCTAGTTACCCTTTTTATTTTGCAACCATTATGGTTGTGTATATTATTTGTGATTTCGATTTCATCAAATGGGCTTTGACAGGAGTAAATAGAAAAAGCTATAAATTCTGTTTTATCTAAATTTAAAGTAATTTTTTTTGTATTTAGTTTTCGAATAATTTGGTTTAGTCCAGTAGATGCTTTAGCATAGACTGAGTCCCATGATGTATCAGAGTACAGTAAACATGTATCGTCTGCATATGTAAATATTGAACCATCCGTCTGCGAGTCACAAATGCTGTTTATATATATTATAAATAAAATTGGGCCTAAAACACTTCCTTGAGGAACACCACAGTTAAATACAAGTTCTTTCCCCAAATCATCATTTACCATAACCATTTGCATTCTGTCCTTTAAGTAACTTGCAAACCAGCTTAGACTATTATTTTTTATTCCAAAATTTGGTAATGTTTTTAACAAGATTTTATGGTCGACAGTATCGAATGCTTTGGCGAAATCTAGGAAAATCCCTATAGTTTTATCACCACGATCCAGCCCTTCATATATATGCCTAGAAACACTATAGATTGCATCCACAGTACCTACACCTGGCCTAAACCCAAATTGGTTCTTAGAGAGAAGATGATGTTTTTCCAGGAAACTCATTAATCTAGATTTCACAATTTTTTCTAAAAGTTTAGAAAATTTGCATATCATTGAAATTGGCCTATAATTACTCATAATTTCTTTGTTTCCATTTTTGAAGAGTGGTTTGACTATCGCTAGTTTAAATTTTGTTGGAAAAATACCTTCTGATAAGCTCATGTTATATATATGTTCTAGAGGGCTAGATATAAAAACTGAAATGTTTTTTAGTAGTTTGACAGTTATTTTATCAAAGCCTGAGGCAGTATCATCTTTTAAACTGTTTATTAAATCGATTATTTCATTGCTATCTACAGGACTTAAAAACGAGTCATCAAAAGATGTTTCATATGGCTTATTCGATTCTATCGGTTCAGTACTACTAAAGTTATCTTGCAATTTCTGTCCAATGGAAGTGGAAAATTCATTAAATGTATCAGCTGCTTTTTTTGGTTCTGTTTGTGTATTTATGATTATATCATTGACTTTAAGATGTTTTATAGCTAATTTATTTTTCAAGTTACTCCCCCCTGTAATATTTTTTATTAATTTCCAAGTCAATTTGGGATTATTTGTACAAGAATTGAACTTATTTTTATAAAAGTTGTTTTTAGCTAACTTAACAATTGTATTAAATTTGTTTCTGTATTTTTTGTAGTAATTAAATAGATTTTTATTAAGAGGATTATTTTTAGACTTAAGGGAAAGTTCATTTTTTTGACGTGAAGAACATAATAGCCCGGCAGTCATCCACTCTTTAAGTCTTTTATTTTTAGATACAATTTTTTTATTAATTGTGCATGCATTTATTATACAAAGTAATTTATCATAGAACAGATTAAGAGCCATATTTATATTGTTTTCATTGAGGACAGATTCCCATTTCTCGACTTTCATCCTATCGTTTAGGAGTTTGTAATCTTTAAATTTAAATGTATCATTCGTAGAATATAAGTTATCATTGAGTGGAATTGCCGTGATTGTAGGAAAGTGATCAGATATATCGATTTGGAGAACCCCTGCTTCAGTATTAGCTAAAAGGTAATTGTTATTGCATTTGAGAAACATATGGTCTATACAAGAGTGTGTTTTATTATTAGGAAGTCTAGTGTACACATTAATCAGTGAATGAAAGCCATTAGTAGCTAATATATCTAAGTATTCGTTATCTACATTGTCATTACCAATATTATATTTATATTCATATCACCTGCTAATAGTGTACGATCGTTAAACGAAGTATCTGATACAATAATATTATTTAGTCGAACCAAAAATTCATTGCTATTTAATGAGGGCGATCTATAAGTACATAACAAGTTAAAAGGAGTTTTACAGTAGTTACTGGTTAAGGATATTTTAAAAAAATTGGCTTCTACAAAACCATACTCAAATGAGTCTACAATTGTTAAAGTATTTCTAATAAAAACTATTATGCCGTCATTTTGATTTCGTTTAATTTTTATGTAACAAATTTGAAACCCAAGTATACTATATGAACAGTTATTAATGTCATGCCATGTTTCAGTTAAAATAATCACATCTAATTGCTTAAAATTAACATCATTCTCAAAAGATAACAACAAATTATCAAAGTTTGCATTAGCACTTCTAATATTTATACATAATT